CTTTGAAGTAAAATAGTGTTAGCTGGTCTTTTTGTAGAAACCAAAATATATAGAACTAGAGTTTATGTACCGGATGCCTGTGAAAGCTGAATGTATGAGCATTATATTATTTTTTCCATTTAAAAGGACAAGTTCTAATAATATTCATTATAGGAGATTTTACTGGTTTTTAGAAATTCATTTTGCTGATGTATCTTAAATCTCTCACCTGATTGAGAATGTACTGAGAAAAAGAGCTAAGTTGGTAGGGCTTGGGGTAGAAGGGCAGAGCTGACTGATATTTGTTTCATTAAGCTTAGGCAAGCTATCCAATTACTTAATGCAAATAAGAAAAGTTTACACTAAACTCCTACTTCTTCGCTTAAAACTCTAGAGAATTTCAATGAGGAGAGATATGTATTTAAAAGAAGGAAATTTAAATGAAACCTAAATCAGGGGCTTAATGTAGAATAACATTAGACCAGGAGATCTGAAATAATAAGTGGGAAATGCCAATAAATAAAAATGGGAACGCATCCTTCACTAAACACTTGGTGTGTTTAGTTTTATTTTGAAATAATTCTCAAGTCTTTGGAATCCCAAGTTAATAATGAAAGAGTATTTAATTCATGCCTTTTTCACACCTAACCAGAACCTTAAAAAGGAAATGTGGCCTTCCATTGTTAATGAAGATCTCCCTCTGTTTTCCATTATGAGGTGTTTACAAAACAACATGTCTTTTTTTTTTTTTTTTTTTTTTTTAAACATACCAACCAACCCTTGTTTTAATAGGTAGGTCTGCCATTGGGCCAGTAGCATTCAAAGAGAACCAGAAATCAGGGCCATCTCATTCCACTGAAAGAGAGACAGAGTTGACCACCACCTGCCTCTCAGAGGTGGCTGTTGAAGAAATCGCTCCATGGAAAGTGAGGTTATAGGAGATTGAAAAGTGAGGTCACAGGAAAGGCAACTATGGACAGGATCGGGGATTTCTGAGATATAAGCAGTTTTTCTTTGCAAAGTAGCTGTAGTTTGTTCAATGATTTAAACACATCAATGATAGAAGGAACTGACTGGAAGAAAATAATGCTGCCGGTGAAATTTTTGGAGGGGAGAGTTGGGGAAAGGAGAGATATAGTACAATGTCGAAGTTTCTAACATGTTGTTTGGCTTCTGAAGACCCTGGGCAAGATGAAACCTCTATTAGTTGGACTGTTTATTGGAAACTCTACCCTCTAAAATAATTTGAAAGAAAATGAAGCATTCTTCTGACATTTTCTAAAAAGTTTTTTTTTTTTTTTCCTCAAACTGCACAGGTGATTTTAAACTTAAGACTCCTTCTGTGGCTTTGCAACAATTTTTATTCATCACTGAGTGTGTGTCTTTGAGGAAAGCTACCTCAGTGACTGTACATCTGCCATGCTTGGGTCTCTGAAACAGCAGTCATGGAGCTCTAAAGAAAATCTGTTCTCTAAGACACTTCCCCAGTTTGTCAGTTAACAGCCTTTAGGTTTTAAGAAAGTATCAGCTCCCACCCATATAATATCATATAAATGGTGTATCTATCAGAGTTTAAGCTTCATAAGGGCAGGGACTGTGTCTTTCTCACTCATAGTTTTGTTCTCACTAATCGCAGTACTGCTTGTCACCAATAATTATATATTGAATAAATTTGTGAATCTCATTTATCCTTACCTAGTATATAGTTTTCATCAGGCAGTAGAAAATTCTAGGGAAGAGACTAGAAATAAGCCCATTGTGCTCATTGAGTGAAAAGTCATAAAATTTAGAGATAATATTCTTTTGTTCCATTTATCACCTGCCACTGTCTTTCTCAAGTGCTTACATAGAATGGAGAATCAGATATTTAATGTATGATATTTGTAAAACACTAAAGCAAAGGGCCTTACGATTATGTAGTTCAACCTTCAAGTTACAAAGTTGAGAAAACTGGAGTTTATTAGCTTCTGTAGCTAAATTGCTGACTGGTAATGAGAATTTGTTCTGGGTCATACTGCCAAACTTCCTAAGGGTACACGATTCTGTTTCATAAATACTCAGAGCACAGACCTTTTTTTTTTCCTTTTCTATTTTATTTTCAGATATTCCTTTAGATGAAACCACTTGAGACCTTTATTTGTAATGAAAGTTATTAAGAACAAAAATAATTTTTCATCAAATTGTGCTCTTCCCAGTCTCCTTGCAGCCAAGATCAAATGTGATTAGGTGTCGATAGTCCAGAGGCTTTGGAATGGGAACTACAGAATGCCCTGTTTTAGGTTATTCAGTGGCCCCTGGGGTGATGTCATACTTGTGACATTTACAAAATGGTGGGCTTGACTTACATGGGGTCTACCTCATATAAGTTGTTTCCTATAAATCCTTTAGACTTCCCTTTTATGCAGCTTGGTTTTCTTTCTTTGGGTCTATGGCTAGAAATAAGCCATCCATCGTTCATGCTGCAGACAATCAGCAAGTGGTTGTTGAGCACTGACTGTGTTACAGGCTTTTGAGATGTGCAGTGAGCAAACCCCCACCTGGTCCCATCCCTTGGGGCGTTTATTAACAATTGGGAAGGAAATGAAGGAGCATGTGAAAGAATAGAACTGCCAGAGATTTTCAAGTTTCAGTTTTAGAAATTCTTGAAGATAATAAAAAATAAAGCAGAATAATTTAGTGGTTAAAATTGAAAAAAAAAAATGGAGAAGACCATCTATATGTGGTCATGGCATGTGGTATATCTGATAAATTTGGAGAGTTTCTTCTTTTCAGATAACCACATTGGTGGGTATTGTTGCATTGCAGTTGATAGGTGTCCCCCAAACTGTAGAGCTGGATGAGGGTCTGTGGCCCAAAAAGAGCACTGAATTTTTGCTGCACATGTTTAGAAGGGCAGAGTAATGCTCAAGTTAAGAGCATGTAGGTAGTTGAACAAAGTTCCTAAGGAAGTTACAGGGTCATGGTCAGATTAACCTCTCCACGAGCTCCCCTGCCACATTACTGAAAGAGAGCAGATTTGTTCCTAAAGCAGAAAAAGAAGTCACAGAGGGCCTCCCCGGTGGCGCAGCGGTTGAGCACTGGGCTGCGAAGCTGCCCGCAGCCTCTGCAGTGCTGGTTCGTTCCCCGGCCACCGGTGAGGGTCCCCCCCCAAAAAAAAAATAAAAAAAAAAACAAGTTTTCACAGCCGGTTCTGTCAACTGACCCAAAACCCTCAGCTGTGAGCAGTGCAGTATCCTTCTGTGGGTCCATTTCATTCACCTTTTGTATATCAGCACAATTTATTTAGGTGAAAGTGTATTTTGCTAATTGATGGTGATCGATCTCAGACATGCTATGCAGTGGAATCAACCGAAAGACTTATTAAAAGGCAGCTTGCGGGGCTCAGCCCCGAAGTTGGGGTTTAGGGAGTGGTGTCCAAGAACCTGCATTTCTAATCCAGGTGATCCTGTTGCTGCTGGCGTGTGGGTCAGGATTTCAGAACTGCTGCTCCAGGCCAGTGACGGGGCTGCTGCTAATTACTGCCGTTCTCGTACCATTCACTACCCACATGCGCTGAATTAATGTTTTAGTATCATTGATGCTGCTCAATTTATTTTGAAGTGTTATAGGAAAATTTTGTTTGCATATATGTAATTGTGCTTAATGCTGAAAGGTTTCCTAGAGGTTCCTTTTGCATTAGAAAATTTCAAGGTATAGGTTTTAGTTCCTTATAATACATCTTTATTCAAGACACAAAAAACACACAGGTTTCATTTCTAGGGAGGGAAGCATAACTGGAATATATTTTTCAAAATGATTTTATCTGTTATAATTGGTTTCTGAGAAGTTCAATTTAAAATCAGTAGCCATTTAAAAATAGCAACAAATTTTATTTATTTTTACAAATCCTTTTAAAGCTAAAATTTGACAGACCAGTGTTCAGTTCGTCACCTGGTACTCATCAGTCATACTTGTGAAGTAGATTTCCCTCAAATTTCACTTATACCAACATAACAATTTTACCTTTCCTTTTTAAAGCATCACTTATACCTTTGGGGTTATGATGGTATACAGGGGTTATTCTCTCTGAGAAGAAAAGGCAATCAGAAAATCTTTGTCTGTGAGATTAGACTGAAATGTACTCTCATTCACTGATTACTGAAGACCTTCAGGGACCATGCACTTTGGTGAAAATTGGTGCCAAAGTAATTTATCTTTTTCTTGCACAATGAGGGGTTTTAGTGGATTGTAATTTAATATGCATCTAATTGTGTGATGAGGTTACCAATAAGTTTAATGCAATCGGATGCTTCATTAATAGCCTTAGGTGCAGAACCTGGAAAGTGTGGCTCCACTGGCTTATTTTACTAGACCGTGTCTGCAGTGTGGAATTTAGTTTGGAGCTAAGGGACAACTCAAAGCAATTCTAGAAGTGAGGAGACTTGCTATTGAAAGGCCTGGCCATTTTTGCCTATGGGGATTGTTGGAAAGTGGGAGTAATTCACTGGGAGGAAATACATCTTAATTTTGTGTTTAGTCCCCAGCTGTAATGTAGGGCTCGTGAGGCCAGGGATCCATCCTTGTTCAGCACCGTGTCACTGGTGTACAGCGCAGTATCTGGTGTGTGTTCAGGTAACAGTCGAGTGGAGTCAATTTTGAGAAGATGGTGGTGCCGTTAGAGACTCGTCTTATACATGACTTGTTAGATTTATTATTTAAATCTCCAAAAGAGATATGGAAGCGCCAGGGATGAAATTTTTTAGGTGGAGAGATTTCAATTTTATGTAAGACTTTTGTAAAACTTAGACGTCAAATCAAGAGGTTTCTTCCTGTAGTTTGAATTCTGTTATTTTAAATGTTTGGGGAAGGGATTTAGTAACAATCATACCTGCTTCTGATAAATTGTATGCCAAGATGATTTCAGATTTCAGCTATCAGCACTAGGGCTGTAACTACCTTTTTAGTTAAGTGTTTCATTAAAAAAGTCACTCACAGGATTTTTTTTTTTCCCCCTAAGGCCGACTCTCCTCTTGTCTTTTCAGGCTGAAACAAAGCAAAGAACTGGATCAGTTAACCAGAGCTATTCTTCGAGAGAGAATATCGAGTGAAGAGGAACGCTCTAAGGCAAAACACCTGGTGAGTCCTAAGGCCTCAGTAGAAAAGGCTTGTCCACAAGGAAATCTGTGATGTTTGGGGAAGCTGGTATTCCTTGCCAACTTCTGGTGTTGATAATATTCGTGTTCTCTTTGCTTAGATTTTCTTGATTTTTGCCTTTTATAATAGCCTGCAATTTGTTGAGATTAATCATCAAAAACTTGAAGGTATGTAACTTGAATTATTGAAGATCAACACAGGCACCTTGGCTGAAGGGATGATGTTTGTTTGCCCTGCAACTCTTTTTATCTCATTGTATTTGAATCCTCTGGGACAAACCCCTATCTGGTCTTTCTCCTTGCTCGCAACCTCCAGATGTTAGTCTGGGTCATTTCCAGCAAAGGAGAGTAAGCAATTGATGAATTGTTTTCTGGGCTTTTAGAAAGAGGAAAAATGTAGAATAAGGGCTATGAGGGGAATCATCTTTTTTAAGACAAAAAATTGTTTTAAAGAGAAGATTACATAAACATGTCAAAAAATGAATATTGATAGAGAGAAGAAAATTTAAAAAGCACCCATAAATCTGTCATTCTCACATAACCACAGTTTTCACTGGGGGTGTCTCCTTCTAGATAGTTTTTCTTAGATCCGTGACATGTTTCAGAATTGGGATAGTGCTGTATATAGTGTGTTGCCTCAAAAACATTTTCTTGCAGCACTGAATGTTCTTCTGAAATAGTTTTTTATAGTTGAATAATATGCTGTCTTTTGTGTGCAATGTAATTTATTAAGCAGTTTCTATTGTGGGTAGAAGTGAGCTGCTCTGATTGCGGCAGGGTCCTGCCTATTCAGCTCCTGTCACAGCCTACTAGAAACCTACATGTTGACCTCTGAGAACCCTTAGTGCCATGGAGTGTTGTTGGGAATGCATGAGGCAGGTTGGATGGGACTATGGTGTAGAGACCTTTGCAGACTGAAAAGGGCTGTCCTTAGTTCAACGGGCATTTGGTGCCATCAAAAATTGCCAAGAGAAGGGTCAGTTTCTGCGCTCTCCTGTCTTTGTCTTGGTCCTTTCTTTGAGAGGCTACTTACTTAGGGTGAGTTGTCAAAAGCGAAAATGGAAGGAAGGCCATGTGTACTGAATGAAATCATCTGTTTCTCTAGTGACTAATCCAAAGTCCAGGTTAAGTGGGGGATGAACCAAGAAAGAAATGTCAGTGGTCTGGTGGGTGCCCCTTAGGAGGATGCCCCCACTGAGTGGAACCAAGGCCAAGAGATGGGGAAGGAAAGTCATTTGTTAGGGAAGGGGGGCAGCTTCAGAATTAAAGACATTAAGTGGTGAGTAAATCACCCCTGGATGACAGCTATTGCACTCTGAAGCTTGAGAGTTTTGGGAGGCAGTTGAAAACACATGAGACCAGCGTGTTGAAGAGTCATTTCCATGGATGTTCTGGCTTCCCAGTTTGTGGGCCAGGGATGGGGAGGAGAGTATTAATGGTGCTTCATTTGAGGAAGGTGGGTAGCAAGCTTTTCAATCCCAATGGACACAACAAACCTTAGTTGGCATTTTTCTTCATGCGCCAGCTTTTGCCTTTGATCCTGAGGCCCTCCTTTGTACCTAAATTTGGGCATATTGTCTTGTTTTCTTAGTTCAGGAAGACAAACAAGATTGGAATTTTTCAAAAAACTCATTAAACCCACACACGTGCACCTGACAATGCATGAAAAAGGAGAGTCTTCACAAAAATTGTGAAAGTATAAAACAATTTCTTATCCAACAGCAACTAAAATAGCATGTAACATTATTTGTTGGGAACAGTCCATCTTTGGCCCACCTTCTCTTTGTACCTTATAAATCTTGTCTATTGCCTGTCTGTGTTTTTTTTTTGTTTAGCAGGTTAAGCATAAGCAGCTGGCACTGTGTATTTTGTTTTGTAGGTCTCTTCTGTACTGATTCCAGGGTTGTACAGTATAGATGGCAAATTACCCGACTCACAACTCTGAATTCCAGCATTTATCATAATATTGACCAAATCACACCCTCAAAGCACGTAGGGATAAAAGTAGGATTGATACAGTCGGATTAAAACTGACTCAGAGTCCCATCCTGACTTGCGTGTTGTCAGACATGGACTCAGCAACATGACTATCCACAGCGGGTTACGTACCTGAGGATCCCCATCTTATTTGCTAAATCACCCCCCTCATTACTATTTTTTAGTATAGAAGACAGGCATATTCACTGGGTTAAGATGAGAAAATAAATACAAAAGATATTAAGAACACTTAATTACCACTATCTAGAGATGAATTAACATTCTGGTGTATTGTTTTTTATATTCCTTTTCACAGTCCATTAAGTATGTATAAGACATTTATGTTCTAGTGTGTGTACATTTTTTTCCAAACATAGATAATGATACATGGTCTAGTATAGCTCTTGCAATAATCTTCACATTAAAAAAGTTTTTGAACTATATGGTGGAGGGCTTTCTGTACTAGTAAATATGTATTTGTATGCTCACTTAAAATAGTTGATTGTATTTCAGTGAGTTTTCCTCATTAAAATACTATAGAGATATTATAAAACATTTGGAAAATAATAAAAATGACTAAGGAACCACCCATTAAGATGGCTATTTTTGAAAAAGTAGACAATAAATAAAAATTATTGGTAAAGATGTTATAGCCATGTGAAATAGTGCAGCTACTATGGAAAATAGTATGGCAGATCCTCAAACTGTTAAAAATAGAATTACCATCTGATGCAGCAATCCCATTTCTGGGTGTGTATCTAAAAAGAGTTGAAAGTAGGATCTTGAGTTGATATTTGGACAGCTACGTTTGTAGCATTATCCACATAGTGAAAAGGTAGGAGCATCCCAAGAGTTGACAGGCAGAGGATGCATTAACAGAAATGTACATGTACATACATACACACACATAATGAAGTATTTTTTTGGCCTTAACAAGGAAGGGAATCCTAACACATGCTGCAGTATAGATGAGACTAATGACATAAACATCAGCGAAATAAGCTGGTCACAAAAAAGACAAATACTGTATGATTCCACTTACACGAGCTACCTAGAGAAGTCAAAGTCATAGGGACCAATAGTGGGACAGTCTGGAGAGCGGTTGCCAGGGCCTGGAGAGAGAAGTGGAGAGCTTTTTCATGGATGTAGGAGTTTCAGTTTTGCAAGATAAGAATTCTGGAGCTGGGGTTTACACCATTGTGAATCTACTTTATTTATGAACTGCACACTTCCAGATGGTTAAGATGAGAGATTTTATGTTATCTATATTTAACCACAGTCAAAAATTAGAAAATATTATGAGGGAAATGAGCATTATTGCACTGATAATTGAGTTTAGAGAGGTATAAAGGTTTTTTTCCCCACCACTAAATTTATCATGCCCCTTTGGATTCCCCTGGAGAAAGTTGTCTTTGTATCTTAACTTTACAACTTTCTTTCTTTTAAAGTTATTTATATTTGCTTTTGTTGAGCTAATGTTGGTTTCCAATACTGTACATGATTTAAGGGTAGAGGTCTTCAGATGTATGTTACCACCCCACCCCACACCTGTAGCCCCAGTCACCCTCCTATACAGCCCATCCATACGAGCTGCTCATCTTCCACCTCCCCTCTCCTCCTTGGTAGTTGTATGCCAAGGGTTTGCTTTGGTTTGGTTTGATCTGTTCCTTTTTTTATTTCTTTGTAGTCCACATATGAATGAAATGACCCATCATTTGTCTTTTTTCTTCTAACTTATTTTGGATGCTATAAAGTTCTTTCTACCTTTTTCTCCCTATGTACATAGTCACATCTCCATGTTCTCAACCACCATCATGTAAAGCTGGATTGTGTGGTGGGGATCCTCAGAACCCCACCTGTGAGCACCCCCTCCCCCAAACAGTGTCAGCATGCTCTTGCTGTGGGTGCTTTGTCCCCAGGGCTGCCTTTCCTAGTAATACCTGGGACTGTGAGTGATGGCCAAGCCTTGGTTTATTCTTCTTTATTTAGAACTCAAATGTTGCAGCCAGCAAGAAAGTAAAGGTTGGATTTCACACATTTGAAGGAATTGGAAAGCTGTCTTTCAGGAGAACTAGTGAGGGAAAAAAAAAAAAAACAAAAAACCCTGATGTGATGTTGGTACTGTGAAATCAAGCCTCTCCTCCCCAGCCCGGCTTCCTCCGCCCACTAACAGTTGACATTTAGGTTGCTTTCTCCCTAGATGTGAGCCCAGGATTTTCTTCCCACAGTTGTCGTAGCAGCTAGCTTTATTGAAGCTCTTTGAAGAGCAAAGTCACCGTGGCCCTGTTGTTGAAGTTTTAAAATTGGATCAGATCAAAACTTTCCCCTCTGGAAGGTTTTCTTTAGCTAGAGAAGCTGTTAGTTCTGCTCTGGATTCAAGAAGAGTACGCCAGCCCCACTTACCTCTCCTGACAGGTACCAATGTCTTAATCAGCTGATTTTACCCAGAGCTTTTGATGGGAGATTTCACTGATAATTTAACCCATATGAAAATGTTAAGTAAAATTCACATTAAAGTTATGCTGCTTAAGAGCAGGAAAGCAACTCTATAAAGAATCAAGACTAATTAAAAGGACACCACGAGGAAACCTGTAAAGTTAATTCGACTTGACCTTTTGTGTATCTTTAAGATTCATACATATTAATCTAATATTTGCCATTTCATTAGGCTTTTTTTTAAATTAAAGGATAGGGAATTGTGCTTTTTTGACTTTGCAGTTTATATTTGATTTCTTTTTAAAATGTCAAAATTTTTATTCACTCTTATTTTCTTATTCAATTTTGCTGGGCTGGCATTTGTCATTTCTTGTTATCACTACAGAACTATGTATCATTTCTTCTTGAGTCTAAACTTTTTTAAAAAAAGACCCAATTCACTTAAGGAAAATGCTTATTGAAATAATCCAGCTCTTATACCTAAATGAGAAATGTCCTTCACTCTTTGGACCGATGTTATATTGAGTGTTTACTGAATGAACAGCTAGATACTCAGGACATATAGTGAAA